CAAAGGTAGAGGTCACAGTGGCCTGGTCTAAATTACCACTTGTAAGTCAGAGCTAATTGTTCACACTCTGTGCCCCCCCCCCGCCCCTAATGTATACCCTGTGCAAACCTGATCCTTGCCAGGACGTAGGTACAGAAATGTCAGAAGAACATATGCTGCTTACACATATGAGTGAGCAATGGCTGGAATGTGGAGCATGCGTCATACACGTGCTGCAAACTCTTGCATGGCAGGTGGCCCCATGTAATTTCTGGGGGAAGAATACCCCAAGCCTCCACAACAGTAAAATACCAAACCCGACATGGGAGTTTTGGAGATGTCTTCTCTAGAATGGCTCGAGATTGATGAACATGGTGCCACGTTCTTCAGATAAGGTTCAGTCATAGCAGTTGTCCATGAAATGTGGCATAATCTCGGTACACAGCTTACGGCCCAAGAAAGTTGGAATAAGACTCTACGACTCAAACATTTCCACTGGTGCTCTTGTTTATAATGTTTGATGCCAGCAGCCATAAATTTACAAGGTACTCTGTCTGGGCCTTTAATTGTTAGAAAATATGAAGAACTGAACTGAACTAAATTGAAAAGAGGCTAAAAAAACAGGGAGGGGGAGGAAAATTCCTTTTAATGTGAGTCCCCTAGGAGAAGATAAAGTAAGAGAGGATAGTTAACATCTCAGCAGTATGATCAGAGGACCAAGAGTTGGTGAAAACTAAGTGAACAACTGTTTTAAACAGAAAGCAGGCTTTCTTTGCACTGATAAGTTGTCACGTGAAATTAAAAAAAAAGCAAATATTACCTCTTTTTACTGATTAGAGACTGTTTGGATGTTTCGGGCTATGATAATCTTTTTAAAGATGTTTTTCTCTAATAGCTATGAGACTGACATCCAAATGCTGTGGAACTTGAGGTCCTTCTGTCCTTTGCAGGCTTTGCGTCAGAACGTGCTAAAAGCTTGGTCTGGGCATCTCTGAACGGGAGGGTCGCGGGTCAGAAGCAGACAGCTAACGGAGCTGGGGTAGCAAACAGACTTCTCTGCAATAATTTCCTAATGCTAGCCAGCTTTCCATATTTGTGTGTGCAGAGAAAACAACACTGACTGCAGTTTGAGTTCAAGAGAGAAAGCAAAAGGAAGACTTTACTTCTCTAGCCTGTCCAGTCTTCACCTTTAGCCCCTTTATCTATGTCTATACAAAGTATGGAGTTTTATCACATGTCTTAAAGACTCATTGAATCATGTCTGCAGACATGTTAAAAATGTGAAAGTCACAGTAGCAGCAACTTATCCATTGCTACTTTGTTGCTATTTCTTCCAAATTTTAGATGGCTCTATACTTTGAAAATTACACATACTGCTTTAAGGCCTTTTTCAACTGAACTTGAAATAAAAAAGAATATAAAAGCCACTTAAAACAATTCAATGTCAATGGAGTAGCAATTGTATGGAAGAAATAAAACTCTTTTGGCAGATTATTAAATACCATCCAATTTCACAGTTGATTAGCACTATGTTATATAGTGCAGGTGTTTGTTACACCTGTGTGCAAAATTTCCCAGGGTTCAGTGTCAGCGTTTGGGTTGATATTGTCATGGCCATGGTGCAGTGGCCTAGTGTTAATATGCTGAAATGTAGTATTAGGCTATGTTAGGCGTATAGAGAATTGTGTCCTCTTCAAAACTAGTGGAATTGTTTTGTTTCTACAGTATTTTGGTCAGTTGTGTTTTTTTGTTTTCAATTCAGGAAGGGTAATCATTGCTGCAGCTTGTACCCTTAATTTACAACAGACTTTTTAGCAGTTTTGGTGCTGGGCAAATGCAGTGACCAGTCATCACTAAAATTTGTGAGATGAAAATAAGAAAGCTGTTATATGGGCTTATTTTGTGTGTTAATGATAGGTACAGTTGCTAAGAGATTCTTTTAGTGACTAGGAAAAGTACATTCGGGTATTTGGTTATTAAAAATATCTCAAATTATTTACATATGATATTATTGAATTTCATAAAGTAGCTGCGGTAATAATCCACCGCACAAAGAAAGAAATGTTCAAATGCTCTAAATAATACTGTTTTTTACAGAAGACTTTCCCTTAAGTAATTCATTCTCACTGAACTCTTGAAAGGTATCTGAATATGTAAGATTATTTCCAGTTTACAGAGCAAGAGGCAGGGATCACAGATTCCCAGCTGTGAAGAAGTTACTGGCAAGAGCTTTCTGAGCCCAGAAAGCAAGCCAATGTTAGCTTTCTTTCATTTATTCCTCTTTTCTAGTCACTGCACAGCAGTTCTCTCTTCCAGTTCACTTCAGCTTCAGACGGAACTACTAACACATACTGATGAGTTTTTAATGAAGCATTTTTATAGTTTGCTTTCTACATTTTAAGTGTCTGGCATTTTTGTATGTTATGGCATAATATTAAATCAATAGGACTTTACAGATGATACTTGATAATAGGATCTTACCTCACAGAGCTTAAAATTTTTATTAGTGTTTATAGTATTGGTTTGAGGTATTTCACATAACGTTTCCCTGGGCAACTGTTAGGAGAGATTTAAATGTTTAACATATGTGGCTGTGCGCACTAATATAACACATGATTTTACCATTACTATCTGTATGTCCTTTTTTTTTTTTTTAATCATTTCCTTGCTTTGACAAAATAATGTTCCTTTTGGAGAGGATCCTTGTGGCTCTCAGGCTTTGCCTATGAAAACCCTCAGAGCAGGACTCCTAGCTGGATGGGTGGCAAAGTCTAACAAACCTTTAACCTTTTTTTTGTGCAGCGGTTTTGGGGGGTAGGGGGGAAGCTCACTGTGAACTCCTGCAGGGATGTTTCATCCAAGATAAATGGCTTTTCAAACCTGGCCATTTTAGACATGCAAACACCTCTCCTGGAAGTTTGTGTCTAACAGGGGCTTCTGCAGATGTGAAATTGCCAGGAAGGTTTAGTTTATGTTTCTAACAGAGATGAATGGAAGAAGGCAAAGGGGTTCAAACATAACTGCTCTCTGCTGGAACTGACATGATGTTCTTTGCTTTGGTATTCTTTTGTTGTAACTGCTGTCCTGTATATTATTCTTTCCATGAAATATGGATCCCTAAACTCCCTGTCTTTTTTTTTTTTTCCCCTATCCTATTTCCTATTTTAAAATCATTTAACCTTCTCAATCCACTCAGTGAATGCTATGCACAATAACACATGGTGGTCACCTCTTGGTAATGTCTGTTATGTAAAGAAGAGATTTCAATCCATGTTTTAGGGTCATGCACGGACACAGTTCACCTTTCACTCACAGTAACACGCTGCTCTCAGAAGGTGACAAATGTACCTAGGAACTTTTTTACTTTATTAACTTGTGGTAACCGGAGAGCAAGCTCCTGAATTAGCTTATCAACACTGACTACATGTTGAGTCGTAAATGACTGTGGGAGAATGCCTTTGGAAACTTTTGAAAACTTCAGCTGTGATTGACTCTAAAAGACATCTTTGGCACCTAAAAATAAAGAGAATACCTTTCATATTCTTCATTTAGTGAACAGATGCAATTTTGAAAGGCTATTTAGTGTGTTAGATATTCAGAACTCACTGTGTGCTTTACCTAATTATCCCTCATGCTCCCTATTTAAAGGATGGAGAAACTGAGGTTGGCAAAAGAAATAATTCACTGGGATCACAAAAGAAGCTCCTGGTATTTTGAATAGAGCAGCAGTCTGGCTGTTTTCCAACCAGCTGGCTGACTTTACATGTCAATTTCTACAAGAGGTGTAGCACAAGTGCAGACTGACCTATGTGTGGTCAATCTATGACAGTCGTTTGTCCAAGGTAGCCTTTTCTTTGTATCTCGGAGGCAAACTTTCTCCATCAAGGTGATCCATACTGATCTGCTTCTTGCTCATGTGGAATATAGTTGACTCGAGAAGTTGTGGTTTTATTCTTTCTGTTTTTTTTTTTTTTTCCTAACCAACATGAAAAACGTTCAACAATTTAGATCTACACCTAGCGGAATCCTGTTCCCAGTCATGATGTTTCTCCTTTGTCCAATGTTGTCTTTCTGAAAGAAATGAAGGCCTTTTGCAAAAGCAAAACTTAAACAAACTGTTTGAGTTATGAATACTAATCACTGCTTTTGAGACATTTACTGGCAGGCAAACAAAGCAAAGAACTGAGTCTCTCTGTCAAACTTTGTATTTTGGAATTTGTATGACTAGATCATAGTAAAACAGAAGAGCTTCTTCATTTGTGGCAAATTAGTACAGTCTAGATGACTACAGAAGTAAATTAAGATATTGGCTATGAAGAGAATTGCTTGTGTATAGAGAGCTAGCTATGTGGTAACTGAAATACAAGGTAGAGAAAGGGGCTCTGATTTTTTCAAATATCTGCATTCCAATGTCTCCTTCTTTTACTTTCTTTTATGTGTTTGTTTTTTAGCAACTCTATTGACTTCTTGCCTGACATAACAGGCTTTTCAAGCAATAGAGGTTTTCATCTGAAAAGCTCACCTTAAGACATAGTAATTTCAAGCAGCCACATTTAAGGTCTCTGTAAGGACCCTTATTCTCTTCAGAGCAGGGGTCACATTACATGCTAGGCTTTTGAAAAGCAACACCACCACTGCCAAAGTGTCTCTACCCTTAGAGACTTCTCATGTATCATGTAGCCTTTTTGCTGTCAAATTCCATTGGAGTGCAAATAGTTCAGTCCCTGCTAGGGCTGATGTCACTGAACCAAGTGCATTTAGGATGCACATCTCTATATTCACTTCATTTGGAAACAGATATGTATGTGTGTGTAAAAAAAGCATAGATCAAAGGCATTTTTCTTCCTAAATAATTTGGGTGACTCTTTGTTTTATGTGAGTGTAGTTTATAAATTAGTTGAGCTGGAGTTGCCAAACTTGGCTGTATATCTGAGCAGTCTGGATGGGAAGCCTTTGCAACTGATATTGTCCTCAAGCAGCTGATCATCAGAGCATTTCCTTCCCGTACCCAAACCAGCAAAATGACCACATCCAGCAGGCAGAGCTCTTCTATGTCTATGGTCAACAACTTGGCCAAAATATTCGATCCAAATGCTTTGCGAAACCAAGGGCCTGATAATGGAATGGAACCCCCCCAAATTCTTCATGTTGCAAGCAGTGATGTCAGCACATCTGAAAGTTTTAACATCATGGATATGAAGTTTGCTTCCCTTGAACAGAAAATAGATAAGCTGTTGACTCTGCAAGACAATGTCCTTAAGAAGCTTAACAGCGTTTCCCAAGAAATCTGTTCCATTGAAAAAGACATTGAGATTGTAAAGGCGGAAACGTCTGAACCTGGATCAAGGATGGAAAGAAACAAAAGTCTGAGAAGTAATGAAATGAAGAGGCTTTGCCTTAAAATGGAAAAATCTCTTTCTGATATAAACAGGAATGCAGAGGAGCAGGTTAAAAGACTAGATGGACTGGAACAAAGTGTTTCTGGACTACAGAAGCTTGTAGGACCTCTGACTGAGAAGGTTAAAACATTAGTAATTCATAATTTAAGTGTAAAACACCATGTTCAAAAACGTAAACTTTGCAAGGCAGGTGATTATGCAAAAGGAGTTGGACATCTTTTTAGAATGCACATTTTCTCGGAGACAACACCTGATGCCCTGCTCAAGAAGAAAAGTGAAAAGGTGAGCCTTTGTTTGTGTTTCAACTTGTCAGGAATCATTGCAAGCTATGGATATGTTCTGCTATATTCTTAGTTTTTCGTTTCATTAACATTTAAGAGAGAACAACCAATATGCTCTAAAAATGAAAAGTATTAGAACAAACTGAGCAAGTTTCAGTGGAAAAGACAGAAAATCTACTGAGTGATGAATACCTTCATTTTTTTCTGATTAATTCTTTACAGTTGTAAACATAACCAGGGGTCACTGACATGGGTGACAAAGATTGACACAGACTTCAGGAGGCTTGGGTCCTGGTCATACATTTTACTATGCTCTTCTCTGGATTTATAATTATCTGGGGAAATCAAGTTGCAGCTGTCATGTTATATGCAGTGGGGTCTAGAGCTTAGTGAAACTGGTAAAAATCCTTCTTGGGTCAGGGCATGTACGCATGTATGTCCTTTATTTCAAGGAACATCTTAAGTGTGTTGTTCTGATCTGGTATTTCTGCTGACATTGGTGGTGAGGGGTGACTTCTAAACTAGGATCTAGAGGTAGGGTTACTGTAACTGGAGCTGTGGCTTGTGTAAACTTCCTCAGGGGAAAAAATGCCTGTGTCACTGTAATGGGAGTTTCATTGTGTTCTTTACAGGTCAGATTAAAAGACCACAAAAATCTCTTGAAAGGCTCCATTGACTATAATAGCTCTTGTAAGGTAGTTTGCCTATTCTTTGTTTGGTAAAGAAGCCCAGTAGCATTAAAAAATTAAAAAATTTCTTCTGATATTTAATTAAACGTACAGTGAACCAAAAAGGTTGCCTTTCATATTGTTTTCTGCTTTGCTTAACTTTTTTTTTTTCCTCTCCAAAGAAGTCACATACAAGCTTTAGCCTTTGATTCATTTAAAGAATAATTCTTGAGTTTGTTTTTCTAAAGTTTTTGAGCAGGAAAAACCTAAGGTGAAGCTATTATTGGAAATGGCATTCCTTGAAAAAGGAAGCACCCAATGTTACTCAGATTGGTCCGGTCAGCAAACTGGGTGCTTTTCAGCTTGTTTACTCAGGCAGCCCCACTTTTCAGGTAAACAAGAAGCATTTGAGCCATCGTAGGAAACTATAAAAATAGCGGTAAGTGCTGAGTAGCAGCAGAGGGGGGCATCTTGTAAAGCTCTGTCAGCTGAACTGGCTGAACTGCCACTATGTAAGGATACAAAATGTGCAGCCTTGTTTCCAGAGCATCATTAACTGAAGGGAAAGGTTGCTGCCCTGCCAAAGGAGACCAACAACAGAAGTGGTTTTTACAGGCCCTTTTTGAACATCAGGTTGGACTGGTTTCAATAAAGGATTTTCAACAAAAGAGAAGTTTTCTTGTTTCATACCATTACTTTGATGAGAAAAGATTACTTATTTTGAGCATCTGAGTTTAGGGCTTCTTTTACTTTTCAAAACACCAATGAAAACACCTGTTGTAAAAGCCTCATCGTAATGAGACCCACAGCTCATCTCTGTAATGCTGCGATCACTGCAGTTTGTGGTAGAGCTCTACCTATCTCGGTGAAATTGCATATTCATCTAAACTATTTATCAATATAAACTGAACCAGGCCTGGGATGTTAATGAACTGGCAGATCCTGGAGGCCCAAGTAGGTGCGAGGCTTTCTGCGCTAGAAATGCAGGGTAAGAGAAAGGAGGGGACTGTGCGGCCTTTGCTGGTGAGTTTGTGGGAGCCAGTGGGTGTAGTGGAAGAGGCAGGTCAGAGAGGAGCAGAGATGCAGGTGCCCAGTGGAGAGTTCAGAGCTACAAAGGGCCTGGAAGTGGAAGGTTGGGAGCTTGAACATGATGGAAACAGAGGCAGTCTACTGACAAGGACCCAAAGAGGAGGTGGGCGAGCAGAGTCTCTGTCTTTTTCCAACAGCAGCTCCATTTGTAATCCCCTCACTGATTCATTTTTGTTTAGGCAAAAACCACTCTCAGTGATGTTGAGTGGACTTGGCAGGAGCTTGTCTAGCATGAGGGCTTAGGAAAGGCGGCACGAGCACGTCTGGAATCATGCTGGTGGTATTACTACGTTGTTAATATTTTGTTTGTTTTATGAGATAGCATACATATGTTAGCTTGTCATTACCTTCCTCTGTGTGCATTTGATTTATTGGTAAAGGACCATCATAAAATTATCAAGCTATCCAGTGAACAACAGCTGGCTTTAGTAAACACTTAGTCATCTTGGGTTTAAGTAAAAACAGACTTGAATTCAGCCCTGCATTAAGAATAATGGAACGTGGTATGATATCCTTCAGCAGAGACTGCTGAGCTTGGCTGTCAGCTTAGTAGGAGCCACTATTTACAGGCGTTCAGAGCAAACAGACTCTCCTCTGTGTGAGGGGGCAGAAACAGCATCTCTGAGCAAGTTAGTGAAGAGACTGGTCCATGAGACACTATGAAGTTGGTTGCTTGTGCCTCTGCCTGCCATGTATTCAAACTGAATTTACAAATGAGGTTTTAAACTGTTCTGACAGAAGCAAAAAGAAAAGTGATGGAATACAGAAATAGGGGATCTCACCCTTGCAGAGTTTTACACCTGAAATGTGCCACTGATACCTGGTAGCATAGCAATGAACAAACCGACCTGAGCATGCAGAAATCAGTCCTTGCTTCTGTTAACACAATCCTTATCACTATCTCTAGTCCCCACCTGACAACAATTTTGAACAATGCTGACTCTGCAGAAGTGGAGGCCACCAGGCAGTAAGACCAACACCTCTTTTATCCTAGGTGAACTCCATATGGCAACACTGAACAACGCTTCAGTCACTTCAGACATACACAGTCCTATTCTGTTTCCTTAGCACCGTGAGCAAGGTGATCCATTCCGTACAGTTAATTCGGAAGAACAGTACCTGCTTCTCTGCACTGCTGGAGGTGGTCATATGTTTTGGATGATGTGCCTATTGTCATCCACCCTGCCCCAGCTACGAGCAAATGCCACCTCTTAGTTCTAATGGCTGAGCTGTCTGACAAATACTTGGCTGTCCCCAGCCTCGTTCTGCAAAATAATCCAATCATTCTTAATTACTGGTCGGTGATGCAATAGGTGGCCATGGATACATCTGGATAAGGCAGTGGATTGTGTTTACCTACGGCTTAATCACCTGCTTTCCCATCGTTCCCTCTCTAGAGAGGTGCTGCTCTTTGCTTTATTAATTATAGGATTGTTTTTTAATTTTTCCTAACTGGCTTGTTTCACAGAACTGGATTAAGTAGAGAGCAGTGGAAAAGGCAGAACAACTGGGAGGGAAGAAGGAGAATGGGAGAGAGGTAAAGAAGGGGTGATAAGCAGCTGGGGTGTATAATCTCTTTTCTGGCTTCAGCAGCAGCTGGAACAGTTTCCAGACCACAGGCTCCACAGGGACTTTTTGTGCTCTTGCAAAATCTAGGGATCGCTCTCCTCTGAAGCAAAATTTCTGCTTTCCTGCCTTTTACTGCCATCCTGAAATACCTCTACTGCCTCGTACAGGAGGTTAGTTTATTTCTGTTTTGGGTTGGACTTATAATATTGTGTAGCCTGCAGACACTTCATGCTTTGTCAGTGCTGCCAAATGTCTCCCAGCCATTTTCCAGCGAGTGCAGCGTGACCCTATCACCACATGGCTGAGAGGAGTAGCATGTATTACTTGTCGTTTTAAGTCATTTTCTTACTACTACCACCCAGGGAAATCAACAGTTCTAGAGTAAGTGTCTTTAAAAGTCTTGAGGTTTTCCTCAAATTCACCTTTCTAAGTAGTCCGTGTTAATCCTGTTGCGAAATGACTCTGTAACTCCATTTTCAGTCCTATTTCTTCCACTTATAAAGAAAGAGGGTAAAATAATACTTCACCTATTTCCTCCAAATTAAACAATTTAGAGATTTTTTACTATTAACCTGCAAATACTCACCTGGAGAGTCAGAAAGTCCCTTTAGTTGCCATCAAAAAGTGGTATTGAACTTTCTGCAGTTGCCTGCAGGTTGCTGTAACTTCAGACTCCTGCCATTTCTACAGGCTTTGCCATAGGACTAATAACTATTAGCCGTTTGAGGCTGTTTCCCACACTAAAAACACCCAAGCAGTGGGAACTGTTTTCTGTTTGAACCCTCTGTCCCTCCCGTGCAGGTATCACACTGCAATTGCAACTCACTGGCTGCTTTAATAGGAGTCTGCAATGAAACTGCTGTTTGCCACGTGTGTTTTAAGATCCAGTCAGCCTCAGTCTATAACTGTTCTGATTCCTTCATTTTGACTACAAATACTAATGGGTCCCTTATGCATTATTTAAATTCTCTCCAGATTGGCCGTGTTCTGTGTATTTTTCATATTCCAGCCAAATAGGCAGGAATTGTTTCATTTTCTTTTTTTCATCTGTCTGCAAGAGTTTCTGCCGTCCTCCGTGGTTTTGAGGGTAGAGGCTTTCTATAGAATCTCAGCAGATGGGTTGTCCACTGCTTGGGCAATGCAGTCAGTCAGCGTCTTCAGCTGCTGTTACACTCGGTAATGCTCTTCCTTCCTTCAGGACTGATGCCTTTACCTCAATATGTTCTTGGTAGAGGTATTCCAGGTTTTGAGTGAGCTATAATATATTAGAGTTATAATTATCTCTTTGACTTTCTCTATCTCTAACACTGGTATGTTTTCTCCAGATGACCTTTTCGTCTTGTTTTGCCCCGTTCTTTCCCTTACTGACAGCCATAGGAGGTTTTTCATGCCCTTCCAACTCAGAATGCTGTTTAATTTTGCTTTCATTTAGCCTTGGAACTTGCTGTCTGCTCTACAATGTTCCCTGGGTAGGATCCTGCCCTGAGCACTGTTGTTGTGGTTTTGCTGTCTCTGCAACTTGGAGGAATGTGTGGAATCAAAGCAGGAACAGCTGATTTCCAAATACCTGCATGCCACCTCGGATGGCTTATGGGCATGACATTAACACCTGTGTGTTACAAGTGACCGTTTTAGGAAATTAGAATTTCCTTTACAAAACTAGGGAGACCTCATG